CCTTCCATCTCACGCGCAATACTTGAAATTTCGCTCAGTGGATGCCCGGAGATGTTGGAGAGTTAGATGCTACTTTCCTGTTTGAATTCTTTTCATTGGGGCGCTCTATCTTATGAGCCGTATACAACAGCCCGGAGGTCAGTTCAAAAGGCTTATGTTACTACGATGAACATCGTTACAACGATGAACTTTGTTCACCGTAGTACAGTATTGGAGTCATTCAGTAATGATCAATAACTACTAAGCTATCAAGTAGCAATTAAGGAAATCCCTTAACTCAGGTAAATTCTTTTCATGGCTGGTGGTCTGAGAAAGCGGAATTCGAAGGGGAGATTGTGTGATTACGATCCGAATAGGGCTTCTTACTGGTTCACAAAGTCATCTAAAACAAATTTGGTCTATTGTGTCAGGTATTCGTATGATGGACTGCTGATTTTTGATTTGATTTTTTTTCTTGTTTATCGGGTTTATCTTCGAGTGTAGATTGGAGTGCTGGCTGAGATATCTATGTGCCCTAGCTCAGCGATCTTGTGATAACCTTGAAGCGAGAACTGCAGCGTTGAAAAGCAACAATCGCTCCTGTTCTCACAAGAAAATAGGACTTCCACTGCTCCGACCTTTTGAAGGGAAGTAGCTACTTCCGGTAAGATGTTTAAACCACAACCAAGATAACAACTTTATTTGGCTGACGTATCGGACAAACATGGTGGTCGAAACTCGAGCAAGCCGTGCTCTCCTAAGGCTCCGACGAAGGCGACAAGGCCGAAAGGTCAGCCAAACGAAGTTGTTAACATCTTGGCTGTGGTTTTTGACATTTAGTCGCGACTTCACATGCGAGCCTGCCAGCATGGATTGAAAGTGATTATGGATGCTGAGGAATAGTACGTTAATTCATGAAAAACTGTAAACAAACGTTTGACCTCTGCGTCGCGGTCGGCATGAGGACGGCATCTGAAGACAGCTGACTACAACATAAATCGCATGGCCTCGCCCACACTCTCTGACGCAAGATCCGCGTCGGACTGGGGTTGCATGAAGTGGTGACCTAACTCAATCAGCAGTTTGGCGTAACAAAGACAATAAAATGGCAAGATATTTATTTAATCTATGATTGAACACAAAAATCAACAACGTTCTGAGATGCAATGGTTACTCCAAATACAACGTACAACTGATAGAAACCATGTAACAAAAACTAACTATGCCTAGTATAACAACTACTATCTACTAAATTTACAACGTGCAACAATTGAGCGAAAGATGGATAACGTAACAAGTGGAATCAATAGTGCAAATTAGAAATAAATCCTAGCGGTCGGTGTTTAGAACATTCCTCCTCCGCCCATTCCACCCATTCCTCCCATACCGCCCATGCCTGGCACTGGGTCCTCTTTAGGTAATTCATTAACAACACATTCCGTCGTAGCAAGTAACGAAGCTACACCTGCGGCATCTTGCAACGCCGTTCGCACAACCTGAACGACATGAGGTGACTCTGGATGTTCACGTACACTGGATATTAGGAAAAGGACTTTTGACTTCTGGGAAATGGAACTCACGGAAGCTACAACAGCACTAGCTGATAGGAAAGTCGGACTTTGGAAGAGATCGTCACTTCAGAGACTACTGCACACAGCAGAACTTCATTACACATACCTTTGTGGGATCGATGATACCAGCGTCAAACATGTCGACAAACTTGTCATTGAGTGTGTCGTATCCGTAACCAGTATTGTCATTCAGTGGGATCTGAGATAAAATGTTTACGAACGAATCAACGATGACACATTACTACAAACCTTCTCAACTGTGGAAGCTGGTTCCAATCCGGCATTCCTGACAATAGTGCTGATTGGTTGACGAACTGCTTTTTTGATGATGTTTACACCCATTTGCTGGTTTTCGCAGCCTACAATACGGATTTGCACAAATTTCAACTATTTAAGAATTCCGAAAAACCAGAAGAAGGGCGCACCTTGAACCCTTCAAGAACTTCAAGAGCTCGAAGAAGCGCGACTCCTCCTCCTGCTACGATTCCCTCTTCATAAGCGGCACGGGTAGCACATAGAGCATCGGTAACGCGATCTTTCTTCTACTTCAGAAGCACCACCTACTTTCAAAACGGCGACACCTTTAGAAAGCTTTGCGAGACGTTCATTAAGTTTCTCCTGAAAGCCACGGGTTATTGAAGGGTTGTCCATATTTGGTCTTATGAAACTTATCTTTTCATATTCACTAGTGGACTGTTCGATATCATCTGCAATTTGCTCGATCCTTTGTCAATCTGAGCTGAATCACCTTTGCCACGCAGCAATAGGGTATCGTCTTTAGTGATAGTCACCTCTTCGACCTGTCAATATGTGGAGTTGATTCATCCAAATATTTGAGAAATTGCCTGAACTGTACCTCTCCGAAATCGCTGAGCTGAATGTCTTCAAGCTTAACCAAGTTTGAGTCGTCTCCAAACACAGTTCCTCCGGTCGCAATTGCCATATCCCTCAGCGTGTTTTTCCTGTTGTCACCGAATCCGGGTGCTTTCACAGCTACCACTTGGAGTCCGACCTAAAGAAATAGTAGATTGCAGGTATAACGTCTCTGAAGTATGCAAACAACTGACCTTTAGACGGTTTAGACCCCAATGAAAAGGAACAGGAAAGTAGCATCTAACTTCTCCAACATCTCCGGGCACCACTGAGCGAATTTTCAAGTATTGCGCGTGAGATGGAAGGCATGGTACGTGATCACGTCCTCCACAATTTATTTTCCGCCCGGTGCAAGAGTTGCTGGCGGCCAAACGGCATTAGCCTAATTGGGTCATTTGACAGATTTAACATATTGGTGGAAAAGGTAGCGGGGGCACGGGTTTCTTCCATCCCTTCTGACACCGCCCAGACTGATTGCCGCGACATCAACTACATGTGAAGTTGTGTGTCTTCTGAGTGAACGCTGAGGTACGCTCAAAACGCTGACGCAAAGTACATACGATAGCAATCTCACGCGCGTTGTAGCACTTTCGGTTTTCTTTTTTACAACTCTTCACGAATCCGGAACACATACTGGTGCTCATGGAGGGCCATACGCGTGAAGGGGAGCGACGTCAACAGCACAGTACCGATTGGTTTCTTACATTGAGTAACGCTAAGTTTTTCTTACCACTTATCACATTGGCTAGTGCGTTTGAAATGCCACTGCGATTCGGAATGGAAGTTGCCATATGCCTGAACAAGACACAGGCCAATTTCAGGAACCCATAACTTTTTGTCCTCCCTGGATCATCCTGTGTCATGATCCCCGCTCAGTTTCTAGGCGACGATGCTTTCTAATAATCTCCTTGTTGCAGTGCGTTCGATGCTGCAATATAGTCGAGCTCAAGGGAATATCATAACAAGACTAATATGTCATATAAAGTATCTAATAAACCGAACGGTCTAGTCACCGTTTTCACTATTACCTATCATATCCATACTTGAATCCAGGAATTTAGTATTCTCAAGGGCACTTAGGGGACTTCGAGGTTTCACGCTATTTGATTTGTCGGCTGTTGGTGTTATTCTTCCTACTGCAGTAGCAGGAAGAACTCTTTCGACGAGTTGTGAACGACTCCATAGAAACTTTTTCTCATTGTAATGGTTGTCCTCATTACCAACTGCGTGCTTTTCCCACTGGTTATAATTGTACATACTCGCAAGTGTGGGCCTGCAGATTCACTTATACGTTCATCACATATGGTCCTCAACAATCGAATCGACGGGGCATGTCAGTGTGACGTGGATTTCGGCGCATCGCCATCTCATTTTCCAACAGTCGTTGCCAGGTGAAGCGAGCAGTAACTGGTGGAAAATTAGCCGGCGGCGCTCCAGAATGACAGACAGCTTGAAATTGTCCCTTTGAATAGGTCGATCTGTTTTTCTCTGCATTTCTCTCGTCGGTAAGGGCAGTCTATGGTCAATGTGACCTTACCAATTCCATCTTTTCACAAATGATGAGTGGCTCCCCCGCCTCGGAGTTCTCTCTTCTGAAAAAGCCCATATGCTGGCTCACCCCATGTTTCTTGCACATTTCGATGCATAACAACCGTTGTCCTCTATCATTGTCCGCGTTACACTCCTTATCCCTGAGACGGAGTAGGCGTGGCCTTTGAGCACTGCATAGAATGGGTTGCTCGTGGGATATTTCAGTTTGAAACAACTGTCATTTTTTCTGTGTTGGACAGGGACGCAGCCCCGATTGTGCCAAAATGGAAATGTCTCTCCAAAAGCATGACCACCTCCACGGATAGTTGAAGTACGCAGCCACGCCTACCTCATCCCAGGGATTTTGAGTGAGGGGAATTCTTGTTAAAGGGATGTTGCACGATAACCTCAATGAAAGAACCCCTTTTCTGTAGGAAGTGGACGCTTTCGACACTTAAATCGTCAGCGACAAACCTCACCGTTATTGTTCCAAGCCATCACAGGCTAATTCTTTGCCGGTGCATATCTTCTAGCCTCACTTACAGTTGAGTGGTCAGTACATTCTCCGGTGCACCCTCAACCTTTCTCGGGGATTCGCTTAAAGGCTCTTGGCGAATAGTTCCATATGAAATACTGAGAACGTCTGAGTGGACCAGAGGCAGCCGCCTGACAGGCTTTTCGAGCAATCCCGTTTCCCATCGCGCAAGGCTATGCAATAGCTTTTTAGAGACAAACCCTGAGATTGCATACTGTGGACAGTGCGTTCAGTCACGAACTTGCAGTCCTAAATGACTCTCCAGTGAAGAAAAAAGTAAAACAATGATGGAGGACACCCTGAGTAAAGATCTGACAGCCTTCCTGGAGAGTTCTCAGGGCGTAATCATTTTATGCCAGCAAAGTGATATCCTGCGACCTTGAACTCACTAGTCGTTATTTTCGTGTCATTCTCAGGCTAAAACATCTCCCACGCACCAGAAAATAAATTTTAGTCTAAAAAGTAACTTGTGAAGAAAGCTTTGAAATTTCGGTGTCGGACATGCTGGAGGTGTACGCTTCACATCAGTATTAGGTTGTCCGGAAAGTTCTCAGCGTTTTGTGCACCTATTTTTTGTACATTCACTGCTGATTAAAAACTCATTCTGCCTTGCTTCTCAGTAGCACATCCTGTAGAGAATTTCTTGCGCTATCTGATGGTATAATTGCCGTTTCACCATTGCTTGATAAACCCCCTTTTTTCAAGATTTTTTCAAGCATGTGAAAAGAGCACTTCGGACGATTTTTTTCTTCGACTATAAATTGGGGCAATCCGCAATCGAAACAGCTCAACAAATTAACCAGGTGTGGGGGCCCAATAGTGCTAGAGAAAGCACTGTGCGGCAATGGCTCAACAAATTTCGTTCTGGAGATTTCAGCCTTGAAGATGAACCTCATAGCGGTCGACCTAAAGCAATATCTGACGAGGATTTTAGGGGGATTTTGGAGGCTGACCCATCCCAAACAGTTCGAGAGATAGCAGAAGAGCTAGGCCTTGGCAAATCCACTGTTGCAGATGGTCTGGAACGCATTGGGAAGGTGAAAAAACTCGACAATTGGGTGCCCCACAATCGGAGTGACCGGCAGGAATCGGCACGTCTCGAGGTTCCTTCTGCATTGCTTTTGCGCAGCAGAAACGACCTGTTTTTGGGCCGAATTGTCACCTGTGATGAAAAATGGGTCATGTATGATAACAGGAGACGTTCCGGACAGTGGTTGGATTTCGACGAACCACCGAGGTAATTTTCAAAGCCGAACCCTCACGAAAAAAAGATTCTGGTCACGGCTTGGTGGTCATCGGCTGGTGTGATCCACTATAACTTTTTATCACCAGGCCAAACCATCACAGCAGAACCCTACTGTGAAGAAATCGACGAATTGTACCGAAAATTTTGTCAGATGCAGCCAACACTTATCAAAAGAAAGGGTCCGATTCCTTTGCATGACAACGCCCGCCCACACGTTTCACAAATCACTATCCATAAATTGAACGAATTGGGGGTTGAAGTTCTACCTCAACCGCCATATTCTTCAGACCTTTCGCCAACCGACTATCACCTTTTCTAACATTTTCAGAACTCCCTTGCTGGAAAATACTTCATCAATCAGGACCAGG